TTTATAAATAACTTTTTAATAGTAATTTACGGAATATAAAGTAAGTATATAAGCCCTCCCAAATAGGCCTTGATTTACATGAAATATGCTTATAGAAAATTTTTTAAGCCCTCCCAAATAGGCCCTATAAGAAATTTGTATTGGGTGATTTACATGTTTATTTTAAATATTTTAAAATTATCTCTGAAAAGCTATTTCAAGGACTCTCGCAAAATGAAAATATATAGGTTTGGCCTGATCCGAATGGTCACAGAAATTAAGGAGGTGTTTGGGTAAGATCAAAATCATAATTTCAGAGGTGCTTTTACGGTATACGAAGTAAATATGTGAAGGAGTTTGCCTCGATTTGCAGAAAAATACTTCTGAAAAGTGATTCTTGGGATATTCAAACACCCCCCTAAGTATAGCTATAGCTTGTATGGGGCTTCGTGTGAGGTGAGATCCCTATGACTGCCTTGGTCAAATGGCCGACCTACTTCCTACCAAGTGGCTCCTGCCACTTTATTTGACATCTTGACGTTTATGGATCAGTTTCAGTACTTATCAAGCACTTTAAACTTTTTAAACTTATTAGATCTGAATTGTCTATATTAGATTTAAATAATTTAGATTCAAAATTTTTAATTAATTATTTTTAAATAAAAAAATTATTTTTTTAAAAGAATGATAGTTAAGAGATTATCTTTATTTTAGATTTTATACATATTAAAATAATTATCTTAAATAAATAAAAATAAACAATCAAATCTAGACCATCCAAATAAGATATAAACGATTCAGATTTAATGAGTTTAGGATGCTTGTTAAAATAATGAGCACTGAAACTGATTCCTGATGATTATTCATCTCCAACTGAAAGGACAAAAATCATTGTGGCTTGAACACTTATCTTTGTAAGATTAGAAATGTTAAAGTAAATCCTGTCGGTAAATGTATTTTTTAGGATTTAAATTTTATTTTTTTTAATGAAAATAAAATTACTAATAATCTCAATTAGCATTGTATTGTTAACTTCTTAATTAAATGTGTAAACAAATAGGGATGTTCATGGGACGGGACGGGACGGGACAGAGACGACCCTGTCACGAGACGGCTTTTCCGTCTCTTGTCCCGTCCCATCCGACGTCCTATCTATTTTTTTAATTTGAAAACTAACTATACACAATAAATGTAAAAACTTATAATAAAAACAATGACGAGAAAAATAGATAAAATAAGGAAACAATGACAAAGAAAAATATTCTTTGTAATCATGAGACAAAAAATTAACAAACCTAAAATATTCACTACAAAAAATATCATTTAACCCACACAAGAATAACTTATAAACAAATAAAAAATAACAATTGATAAATATCATTACCAAAATACTATTACTATGATAAATAAAATAAATTTATAACAACTAAAAATAAAGATAATATATTGGAACAGGACACCCCTGTCCTGCGTCCTATCCTGTCCCGAAATAATTTTGTGTCATCCCGCTTTCGTCTTATTCCAAAAACTTTCAGGCGGGATTGTCCCGTCCTAAAATGACTGGGACAAGAACAGGACGATGGGACGGAACACAGTTGAATACCCCTATAAAAAAAATACAAGAAAAAAAGATATTAAAATAACTTTGAAATTAAAAAAAAACATATTAAGGTGGGTAAAATTTAAAATCTTAAATCTCTATATGATTTTGGAATTTTAAAATATTATGAAATAGCATTATTAGTCTTATTTCTTGTGACTACTTTCATATAGTTTTAACTATTCTAATTTAAATGTTGACTATTTTTGTTTTTGAAGTTCTAGTAATTATTTTTATATAACTATTGATTACACAATAATTGCAAGTAACAAAACAAAAAGTGATTACTAAATCTCTAACAGCACATGGTAAATTTTTTGAAAATTTGAAATAAAAATAGTTAATAACAAAAATAGAATAATCAATAACTAAATAAGAATAATCACCAAATTTTTAAAAATAAAAGCAATCAATCGTAATACTAGAGTAGTTAGTAACTAAATAAAAATAGTCATCAAAGTTCTAAAAACAAATATAATCAATAACTTAAAAAGAATAATTAATACATAAAAAAAAAGTAATTATCGGAATTCTAGTGAGTGGTGACATGTCACCGAAAACGGCTAGGGGAAAAAAAAGTGAATGACATTTGTATAATTTTATTAGATTTTTTTAAAATATTTTTATATATTCCTAAATATTCCTTTAGTTGCAGAATCCAATTAATTGCGTCGCTCTCTTTTTAATTTCTTCCCCCTTTTAAGGGGTGTGACTTTTAATTTTTTTCGTGTATGAAGAGATTTTCTCAGATTCAATATAATATTAATTAAATAACAAGAAAAAAAATTCGATTTATATTATCCGAATAATTTAAACATGAAATATGTCGGCCAAAAGAATTAAATATAAAAAATATATATAATTTAATATTGTTAAATTATAATCATATTTTTAATATTAAATTAGCATTTAATCCAATCGTTATCCTTTTCTCTAGCAATCCAATTATTTGACACTATGGGTATTAGGATAAAAATTTAAATGAGATTAAATCCATATAATATATATTTTCTCATTGATAGACTGAGATAATAAAAGGATGATCCACGATATATTGTTTTATTGATTGATGATTGATGGATATTTGACGATATTTTAGGAACATAAGGGCTCCCTTTTCAATTATCTCTCGTTCCTTTTAAGTCTCTAAGCGACTCCTTAGCCAGTAAAATCCTTTCTCTCGCTCTTTATTTACAAACAGCCACTTTAGTAATTTCTATTTCTTTGCCAATTACACGCACAGATATTCATTACTATTTTTCAGACTTGCATTATTTCTAATAATTTGGAGCACAATAATTATAGCCTTGTTTTTATCATCATATTCATATCCTATGTAGCTCAAACGTAAAATAAGCTTCCACCATGATTTCTTTTTGACAATTATGTACCAAAGATATGTGGATTTCCTGTGACCATTTGACTTTATCTGGGTTTTCTTCGTTTTTGGAGATCATTGTGATTACTTGAAATTCTATGTGTGTGTATTTGTTACTGCACCTCGTAACCCTAATCTAATAATCTTCATATTTTCATTCTCTTTTCCTTCAGAGCAAGCTAAGGTGGTTATTTCAAAACCAATGTCCAAACGTAATGAAAGCAGATTGGAAGTAATGGCAAGTGATCAGATTAGCGAGTTACCTGACTCGTTGTTTGAACATATTCTGTCTTTTCTTCCAACCAAACAAGCCATCACCACATGCCTCTCCTCCAAGAGGTGGAGCCATCTCCGGTGGTCACTGCCCATTCTTGACCTGGACGACTTCAATTTCCATAGCCTTCACTCTTTTATTCAGTACGTAGATACAATCATGAGCATGAGAGATCATTCAGAAACCCTAAGAAAGTTTCATCTCTTTCTCAGATCTACAAATGGAAACGTGCCACGCATGAAGATTAACACTTGGATTAACACAGCAGTAGATTCCAAAGTTGAACACGTTGAGATTTATGATAAAACTCTTAGCAAGTTCAACATTGAAATACCCTCTTCCATTTTCAACTGCAATACTATCAGCATTTTAAAGCTTAGTGGTGTTAAAGTGACGACTCCTTCTTTTATTCATTTGCCTTCACTTGAAGTCTTGCACTTGAGCAAGGTTATATTTCCAAATATCAAATTCATTTACAATCTTCTTTACGGCTGCCCTTTGCTTCAAGACTTGGCACTAAAATTCTGCGGCACAACTGATGGGTATTCGGTTGTACCAATAAATAAAGGGAGCCTTAAAAATTTGGTTTCAGCTGATGTTTATGACTATCCATTTACTTTGGAAACTTTGTCAAACGTAAGAGCACTGCGGATTGATACGGTATGATGTTGCCACTTTAATTTTGATCTTTGGTATAAAAGCTACTTTTAACTAAGTTGGATAGGATAAAAAAGTTGATTTAGTTAGTTATTTGTAACAAATATGAGTTAAATTCCCTAAAATGTATTTTTAATCATAACTACCTTTAGATGGAAACTCCTTAATATATATTATTAACAAGCATATTTTAGAGCATGAATTTAAATTTGAGAGACAAAAAGTTGAGTTGATGTCTTATTTTAGAATCAATTTAACCTCCAACAACCAGCTCTTATACTAAGGATTAAATGTTGATAAGTAAATAATTCACGTACATTATTGCTTTTCATTCTTAGATTTGATATTTCAGTTTGCTTATCTTGTTGCTTTTCATCCTCAGATTTGATATTTCAATTTGTTTATCTTGTTGCTGTCTCCCTCTCTTGCAGATTGGTTTTTCAAGTCGCCTTCATCCTGCCACATTTTATAATTTAATCCACATGGAAATAAGATATTATTCACCAGATTTCTCGCATATAACAATATTGGAATGCTTGCAAAACTTCCCCAAGCTTGAAACTCTTATAATTATTGAGGTTTGAATTTGTTATTTTCAAACTCATGTGTGTGGACTGCCATTTGATTAGCTAGTTGGTTTAACTCCTAACTTTTACACTACATTATTTGGTTCAGTTTAATGGTACAGAATGGTTGGGAGAAAGCGTTCCAGAATGTGTTTCATCGCACTTGAAGGAATTCCATCTTGGAAACTACAGAGGCCTTTACAATGAATTGGAACTTGCAAGATTTATAATGAAGAATGCAAGCTTCTTGAACATCATCTCAATTCGTGGACATGTTACATTAACAGAAAATTCAAAACAAGAAATGCTTCAAAGATTATCCTCTTGTCCTAAAAGCTCCGTGAATTGCAGGCTTTTGTTCGAGTGAGCTTCCGACATGCGGAGATTTTAAGGATGTAAATTACTAATTGTTATCTGTTTTATTTTTTGCCGATGCATATCTGCTTGAGTTTAATTTTCTTTTCCCTTTTGAATTTGATCCGTTTCAAGTCAATTGTCTATACTACCTTCAAACGAAGTCGTGAGATTCAACAAAGACATTCCAAGTTAACCTGTGTTGCAAATTGCAGTTTCCAGCACTTCCCCATAAGAGCTGCCTAAGCAAATGAGAATGGAGATTACTCCTTCTTGGAATCCACTCAAAGTACCTACAGAACCAAGAGTTTTGCCAAGAATCACAAAATCCTCCACCAACTTCAAGCTCCCCCATACAGGGCAAATATTCTCCAGTTCCAATGGAGAACAGCCAAATTCAATCCTACCAAGCTTTGACCTACACCATATAATACTACTTTCATTTGAGGCTATCAGTAGTGTTGTTATCAAAGCTTTGTTTATCTAGGCCAGTTCTGCCCTCCCTATTAACCTTCCCAGACGATTAAACAAAAGGTTCATGGCAAGTTTGACCGTAAATACAAGCACATTTAGTGAGTTACCAAAAGAAATGAGATTAAATGGGCGAGAAAACAATTATTTATACCAGTCAAATGATGAGCATATAGCACAATACAATTCAGATCGTTTATTTATCATTCATCTTCCAACCCTTGTGGCCCTGCTACAGAGAATGGCGACATTGACTCTCCTAAAGTCAATACCAAAGAATCCAGCTATGATGCAGATTAACGTTTGCACAGAAAAATATTAATGACTATGAAGATGAAATATTGCTGGAAACGTCTACATACATACAGAAGCGAACGAAAGTGTTCAAAACGCTTCCGTTGGCCAAAATAAGCACTCTCATTAGCCTTTTTTTCCCCGTATAAGTAAATTCAAGACCTAATAAGGTACCACCTAATCATGGAAGTAGTAACTGAATTCCTTATCTGACCCTAATTTACTATACACATTCTGAAATATATTTATGGCAGGGACATCAACAAAAAGCCTGCAATTCATGGAACATTTGGGGTATGACGATAACATTCCCAGCAATTCAATTCTCTTAGCCTCTTGCCTTGGATAATCACGAGTCCAAATGATGACAGAGCTCAAAACTTTTGCATGATTCATTATAAAACTTACAATTTCGAACTCACTTTGCAAGTAGTTAAAGCCACCTAGCACAAACACCTTCAGGTTTGATGACACACATGGAGGAACATTATCAGGACCTGCTTCCATCGACCAATCCAATCCCTTACAACCCTGGCCACGTACACAACGAAAGTGTTTTGTAATAATTCAGAATACTAGGTAGTAAGACGAAAACAGATTCTATTCAGTTAATTTTCAAACCTCGTAAATTATAAGAGTTTCAAGCTTGGGGAAACTTCGAAGGCAGCAGACCAGACTACTCCACCCTTTCTGAGTTAAGTAATGAATTTCCAGTTGGGTCAAATTGTAAAATGTTGGAAATTCATAGTCACCGGGAAAAAAATCATGCTGCACGAGCAAAGATTAGGCCAAATTAAATAAATTTGGGGATATGGTATTATATAGAAACAATTAAAAAAAAATTACTCATGGTAGGTCATTGGTACCTCCTCTAAGCTCAGAAATGTAACGTTAGAAAAAACTTCCATTCTAAATAGATCTACTGAAGAAACCTTTGCAATAACCAAGTGATGAAGCCTTCCAATGTCTAGCTTCATATTCTCATCATCAGGAAACCCCAGATACAGTAGCAGCAATTCTTGAAGACGAACACATTTAGAAAGAAGCATTCCTAAACTTTCAGCATCCGAGAACACAACGTACATCATATGCAAGGCCTTAAGGGATGGCAAATTGACAGTAGAAAGATTTCTCACCTTCACCCTAACCAACTTTAAGATCCTAATGGTATTGCTGTTGAAAGTGCTAGAGGGTAACGGCGGATACGTAACCATAATATCAAAACAAGGTGCAAAACACAGATTCAGATACTCAAGTTTGCTCTTGAGCACTGTGTTAACCCAAATGTCAACCTTATCATGGGGCATATCAAAATACTCACACTTGAGAGAAAACATTTTGAGAGATTTGGAATCAACCAAGTTGAGGGTAGAATCTATAAATTGAAGGAAGGATTCGTAACTACGAAAGCCTTTTTCGTAGAACTCAAGCTTTGGAATGGAGAGCCAAAGAGATTTCCAAATCTTCGACAAGAGCATTGTCGCAATAACATCTTTGGTTTGGAGAGATTTAGAAGCGAGAATATGCAGAAGCAACGAGTCCGGTAGATTACTGATCCGGTCGCTCATCGTTACTTCGCCTCCTTTTTTATTTTGGAACCAAGGGTCGAAAAAGTGGAAGGTTTTAGGCGTAGCGTCACTTTGTAGAATAGCAACTCTACAATCCGCCTCCGGCTTGAAGTGATCAATAGGCTTTGCCCATTGATATTGATGATCTTGATCATCGCGTCAATAAATGCTTGCACAGAGCTATCTTCACGCGGCAATATTGCAGATATATACACAATATGGGGTTGAAGACAATTTTCTTTATATCATCTGCTGTGACGATTCATATGGCTTTTTTACTGATATACTGTAAACAGTAAAAAAAATATTATTTCTAATTATAAGACCCAGTTGACTTATTTAAGGAGATTAAGGAAGTAAGTTAAATTAGTTATTTGTAACAAATAAGTATTGTCATTCCTAAAATATCCTTACTAATTAAGTGTATTGGCTAGAACTATCATTATTATAAGGACTATCTTGAGAAAAAATACATAAATATAATAGATAAAATGAATTGGGATCTTATAATTAGGATCAAACAAAAAGTCAAACAGGGTCTTATATTAAGGACAGGAGGTAGTACCAAAATTCTGTAAAGTGAAAATTAGTTATCCAAATCCTATATAAATAACGAGGTTAAGACTGTGAGAAAGGTTCACGCGAAGATGAATTTTATCTTTATTTTTTGTTATTTTGTCATATTGTCTCATCGACTCTGACGTATACATCTCAATTGAATGCTTGAAAAATTGATGAGTGTGGAATGGCTTAGAAAAAAAATACGGTGATAGCTATTTTGGGGGGATGATTGATAGAGTTAATAGTAGAGCAAAATATGCAAATCAAATATAAACCACTTAATGTAAGATCTATTTATTTAATCTAAATAGATTAAAGAAACCAAATAAATTATTTGATTATTAATATGAGAGATAAAATATGTAAAGATCTTACACTTATTATCAAAATTCACCCTCAGACTAACTCCTACATTTAGAATAGGAGTATATTGTATCAAAAAATGTAAAAGGGTTACATTTTGAGGGTGAATTTTGATCCCAAATATAAAACTTGATTAATGTACGAAATATGTGGTAGAGAAAAATAGGCAAATCAAATATACACTCCGTTGATAGCAAAATATATACACACTTTGTTAATTCTTAATGTAAGATTTATTTATCTAAATTAAATAGATTAAAGAAACTAAATAAATTACTTGATTATAATATATATAACATGATCTCTCTAAAATATTTTTATATAATATTATATTATATGTCAATTTATAAGTTAGACAAATTAGTTTAAAAAATACAAATTAGTTCAGGAAAAAATAATAAATATAAGAGATAATATAGATAAAGGTTTAACACTTAAAACCAAAATTAACCCTCAGACTAAGTCCTACATCTAGGATGAGTGGAGTATATTATATCAAAAAATGTAAAAGTATTTTAGTTTAAAAAAATTATATATATGAGAGATAAAATTATAAATGTCTTATATTTAGAAAAAAATGATAAATATGAGAATTAAGATAGATAAAGGTTTTACATTTGAAAAAATACTTTTATATTTTTTGATACAATATACTCCTCATGTTCTAAATATATGAGTTAGTCTGAGGATGAATTTTAATCCTAAATATAAAATCTTTATCTACCTTATCTCTTATATTTATAATTAAATAATTTATTTAGTTTCTTTAATCTACTTAAATTAGATAAATAGATTTTATATTAAGGAGTTTATATTTGATTTGCATGTTTTGCCCTCCACATATTTTGTACATTAACTCTATCAATCATTCTTTTTCCCTCAAATGGCCATCACCGTATTTTTTTCTAAACCATTCCGCACTCATCAATTTTTTAAGCATTCGATTTGATTCCAATTGTAAGAGAGGGGAGAGAGGAAGGAGAAATGGTTCCATGTGTGATGAAGTTTACTTTTTTATTCAAAAGAAATGTACATGTTAGAGTTGACAAGAAAATACGACAAAAAGCAAAGATAAAATTTATCTTCGCGTGAATGACTTTCTCACAGTCTTAAACTCATTCTTTACATGAATGAGTTTAAATATAGTATTTAGATAAATAATTTTTACGTCGCAGGATTTTGATAATACTTTTTACTGTTTACAGCATATTAGTGAAAAAAACCCTATTCATATCAATCCAACATCGACGCTTAGGAATTGGACATTAAATGAGGGTGCAATTTACTTTGCAGTCATCCAATTGTTTTTTTTTTTTTTTATGTTGACTTGTTTCAAAATGTGCAACCAGTTTAATAATACTTTACAGTACTAAATTAATTTTTTATTTTATATTTCTGCACAATTTTTGCCCACAATTTTGTACCATTAAACTTTATAACTAAAATAATATTCACGGGGATCTGTAAAAGTATGATCACACAAAAAGAGTATTGGGCTTCGTGTGAGCTCCCTGTAACTGCCCAGGCTTTAATTCCTGATTCCTTGTCTTCCTCTACTCTTCCTTTCCAGTCGTCCAACCTCCCTCCGCCTTTTTGTTTTTTTTTTTTGGTGAAAAGAAGGGGCCAAGCCCAAAACAACAAAATAACAGTTAGCCTATTTTTCTGAGGCAATTTCCTTCTAAAAATACTTGAAATAAATATGTAAAAGAATTTATCTCGATATACAGAAAAATGATTCTGAAAAGTACTCTTGAGGTGTTCCGAACACCCCTTAAATCTTCTTATAGTAAATTCAGATACCCACTAACGAAGATTAGGTCTAACAGAATAAGCTAGTTCCTCATAACGTAGCGAGTCAAAGTTTGAATTTCTACTAAAAGAGATGTATCCATATGTAGTGTTTGATAGTGCCTCGAATAAAATTGTTTCTAGTAAGAAAAAGATACTCAAGTTTGCTCTTGAGCACTGTGTTAAGTGTTAACCCAAATGTAAACCTTATCATATGAAAATACTCACACTTCAGAGAAAACATTGAGGGATTTGGGATCAATTAAGTTGAGGTTAGCGTCTATAAATTGAAGGAACGATTCATAACTACGAAACCCTTCTTCGTAAACCTCAATTCCACATCTTTGGCAAGAGCATCGTCGCAACAACATCTTTGGTTTGAAGAGACTTGGAAGAGAGAATATGCAGAAGCAACAAGTACGGTGGATTACTGATCATGTCGCTCATCGTTTCTTCTTCCTCCTCTCTGATTTTGGAACCAAGGGCTAAAGAAGTGAAAGGCTTTAGGCGAAGGGTCGCTTTGTAGAATAGCAATTTTATAATCCGGTTTGAAGGGATCCATAGGTTTTGACAATTGACATTCGCGATCTTGATCTTCGCGTTAATAAATGCTTGCACAGAGCCATCTTCACGCGGCGGAATTTCAAATATTTTCCAATATATGTACAAAATAGGGTGGGAGGAACAATTCTCCGATTCATATCAATCCGACATGATTTGGAAAATAATTTCTGAAAAATAAATTTTGAGAGAATAAATTGTGTGAAAAATATATTTCATAAAAAAATAATTTTGATAAAATGAGAGTATTTGAATAGTTATTATCAGAAACACTTTTTATATGTGTAAATTACTAAAAAGAGCACAAGTTAATATGATAATCATATAAAAGATAAATTTTATAATATATTTTAATTTAAAAGAGTAAAATTGTTAATAATATATTTTTTACTAATATAATTAATAATATATAAGATAATTTAATTAATAAATAATTAATATGTGTATATGTATTTATAAAATATAAGATTAAATATGTTTATAGAAAAATAATTGAGGAGTGTTAAAGTCATGTTATTATTGGGATCTACTCTGACAAGTACAATCATACTTTCCAATTTGAGCCAAAAGCAGAATAGATTTACTTCTTCTGAAACCATAGTTTTGAACCCAAAACCATGGTTTGTTGATCTTGTCCCTTGTTTGGCGAAATTTTGACCCAAACTATGATTTGGGTCCCAAAATCATGGTTTCAAATATTTTTCTAACAGTAAAAATCAAGAGGGTTTGGCAATGGACAAGATTACTTTTAAGAAGTATTTTTTTAATAAATAAAAACAAATTCTTTCGTATTTATTTTGTATGCTATAAAATGATTTTTAAAATTATGATTTAATTTCTATTCAAACATCCTATATGAGAGTACAATTTACCTTGTAGTTATCCAATTGTTTTTTTTTTATGTTAACTTATTTCAAAATGTGAAAGCAGTTTAATACTCCCCTAATTTTCAATTCTTTTTTATTTTTATATTTATGTACAATTTTTGCCCACAATTTTGTACCGTTAAACTTTATAACTGAAGTAACATTTACTTTTGTTTTGATAGGAATAAATTTGAAATGTTTTATGAATTTGATTGTGATCTCTTGATAACCTACATACAATGACTTTATTTTTATAGAACATAATAACATGGGAAAATTGCAAATAAAGACCGTGGAATATATAAAATCGCAATTTGGGTCCTTGAATTTATATAATTGCTGTCAGAGACCCGGTCCCAAATAAGAATTATGAAATGTTGATTAAAAGTCAAAAACGCCCTTCTGCTTTTTTGCAGTCCCTTATCTACATGCCCTAACTTTATCTTTCTTCACTTTCCAAGTCGTCTCCCTCTTTCTTCATTCTCTGACTTGTCTCCCTCTTCTTGATGATGAACCATACAAATCTCTTGAAGAAATTGAGGCTAACACCATTAGAAATCTCCTTCTTGATGAAGATGGTCCATCTTCTGGTGTTTTTGATGACTCGAGTTTCAATAATTTACCAAAACTGGTGATGACCTGGAAGATTTTGATCTGTTTGGCAGTAGTAGAGGTATGGAGCTGGAAGGCGATGAACATCTAACTATAGGAAAAGGGGCCAATGGTCCAAATAAAGATCCTAGTTGCTTCGGACGTTTTAAATGGAAACTTTCTTTTGTTGAACATTCTTCTAGAACAATTTTTGTTAGAAACATTAATAGCAATGTTGAAGATTCTAAGCTAAAGACTCTTTGAGGTGCT